GGGCCGGGGGCGGCTGCGGTTGAGGGTGTTTTTGTTCCCGCCGCCGCCCGCCCGCCGCGTCCACCGCGCCGCTCCCAATAAAGGTAAAACCATGGCGATGGGGTTCGGGGCCGCGACCCCGTCGGGCTGTCCCGGCTCCGGCCGCCTCCGCCCTCGCTACCCCAGACCCGCGCCGCGGGTTCGCCTCGTTCCGCGGGGCTGGGGGACGGGAGGGTCCCTCCCTCGCCCGCAGGGCCCCTGCGAAGCCTTTCAGGAGGTTGAGGGGGTCCTGGGCGTGCCCCTGCCTGCATCCTGGCCGGGAGGGGAGACCCCCGCGGCCCACCCGTGGGTGCTGTGTTACATCGGAGCGAGCCTTTGTAGGTGCTCCGCGGGTGCCCAAAAAACCACTTTGCCTCTCATTTAAAACACTGCCCGCGTTCCCTCTGCCGAAGGGAGCTGGGCGATCCCATGTGGCAGGGGCTTTTCCTTTTGTAACCTGCACATAAAAGATGCTCCCACCGGAATTTTGGCTCCACCTGCCCGCTGGGTACCTCTGACCCTCCAAAGGTGTTTTCATTAGCTGTGCATTAGGGCCTCTTTGAGCTGTGACCCTCTCCAGGATGTTTTTTAAAGGTAGGCTTGGAAGGGGGTTTATCTTTTGCTTTCACACTTGTGGCCACAGCACATTCCTCTCTAATCACATCCACTAATCCCATCTGTTCTTTGCCATGATCCATCAAGGCCGGGCCTTCAAGAGACAAATAAATAAGTTTTTTGCACATCACCAGAAAGTAAGCAGTCGGATCCATTTTTTCCTGTGTGATCTCCATCTCGACAGAGCTGCTACAGAGGAGCAGTGAGAGGAGAGCAGCAGGGCTGACCCTGTTCCCAGGTCAGGTTAGATGTCTTACAGAAAGGTGCTGTGGTGGGTTCTGGTCAGTGAAGCCCAGCTCCTCCCTACAGAGGGTGAGGCTGGGGGGCAGTTTGCTCTCCCGTGGGCCAGGCGTGACATAAGGCAGCAGGATTCTGCAGGCTTTTGATTAAGAGATGCCAAGCGTCTTGTGTTTGAGGAGGAATTTGGGTTAAAACCCCCATTGAAAGACCGGGTGATGCAGGAAACAGCCTGTCAGAGCACAGACTGGAACAGAGGTCCTCTCCCGGCCTCTCGGCCCTCCTCATTTGCTCATGTTTCATCTCTTTCCACTATATTTTAGCTGCCTCAACATACACTTAAAGAAGGTGCCAAAGATGAGCCCGCTGTCACCTGAAAAGCGGCTCAGCAGTTATAGAGTTCTTCCAGGAGGTGGAGGAAGCGCATTGGCTTCCTGGGGTAAACCCCACTCGGCTTTCACAGTGCTGGATCTTCCTCTGCTGGGTCTTAGAGCAGATTCGCTCACCTTTGAAGAGTTGTTGAAGGGCCTTTTGTGTTAATGGAATTTTGTGGCTGAGAAGGTGCCTCGGATGGCCCAAAGCAGGTGGAGACAGCGATGGAAGTCCAAGTGTCCATAGACTCAGCTCACAGTAATTGTGTGTACTTACTAAGAAGTCTGAGGGAATTAGACCCGTTTTGGGGTGACCACGCTTGAGAGATGTCATTTTCAAGCTTTTTTTTTTTTTTTTAATTCCCTGTGTGCTTAAACAGGCCTTTGGATCAAGGCACCTCAGGGATGTGTTGAGCCATGTCTGCCCTTGGCTGTGGGAACAGATGTCTCCTGTGCTTCTACTGATGCAAAATGGGTCACAAAAACTGGTCTAGTGTCGTTTTGACAAGTCACAAATAAATTACAACACACAGTTCGCTGACGTAAACCTGCCTTACAAACAGCAGTTCAAATGTCCAGCTTCTGTTTTTTGAGGATGTTAGGGGAACCTGCAAAATACAATTAGCACTTTTCAGTGTTCTTGGGAACAGTGATCTGTGGCTGAGCAAACTGGCATTTTTTTGGAGTTGTGCAGGTTTTCCACTGCGTGATTTTATCCGCTTTTTGAGGCAGCCCTCGGTTTGAAGTGTAACAGAAAACTTAACATTAAGAGTTGGAGCAGAGCTGTTTGTTTTTCAATCCGTTTATATTTCTGTTCTGAGCATCAGTGCAGACAAAAATGCGTGGGGTTCAAGCGGTATATTCTGCTGCCTTTAGAGACTGTGGAGCGCTGAATTTAGTCAAAGTGTTGCTTATTTTCCTCTGTTATCAGCCTGCACTGATGCTCTGAACTGCAACAAAATAGATTGAAAAACAAATTGGTGTGCCCTATCTCCTTGTGCTGGATTTCACATTATCCTCTGGGCGAGCTGCCTGCTCTGCCCCTTTGGAGCACCCCAGAGACAAATAATGACCCCTCAAGCCTCTTTCAGCACTTCAAAGACTGAATTGCTTTTGGTGGGAGAGGTAAGAAAATTGAATTGCAGTCCTTGATTTTCTGGCTTTCCAATAACCCTCATTGTAAGATCATCATCTTGGTAACAAAAAAACCAGGAAACCGGTAAACACACGCAGAAAATATTCAGACTGTGATTTAAGGCTGTCACTGCCCTTAACTCCTCAGAGATAAAAACAAAACACTGCCCCTCGTTTAGAGGCCAGTGTCATTCCCAGGGTCGAGGAACATGAGAGATGAATCCCAGCTTTCCATCCTGCTGAATTCACTGATTTCCATAAGAACTGCGAAATGAGCCTTTGAGTGGTTGCAAGTGGGCCGGGATGGGGTGAGCCCCTCTCACAGGGCAAGGAGCCTTTGTGGGCTGGCACCTGCTTCAGTGACCACTTCGGGTTTTAGCTCCCTGAGCAGAGAGTGCTGGGGAGCAGGAGGGTTGAGGGGTGCTCCTGTGAGTGCCTCCCATCAGCTCCAGCAGGAGTGGCATTTACTTAAGACAGGGAAGTTGGATTCTTCCATTTTGCTTATCTCTTTCTGTCCACTTTGTGTTTTGTTTTGTTTTCTGCCTGCTTTGGTTCGGCTTTTTAGAACTCACATAGGACTTGCTTTCTTCTACTTTCTCATCGGGTGTGCCGGCTGATTTTATGAAGCTTCATTATCCCTGTGGGTGCTCCAAGTTATCCATCTCTGCCTGGCCCTGGGCAGTGCTGGGCTGTGCCGTGCCGGCAGCAGAGGGAGCAGCAGGCTGTGGGTTTTGTGCCTTTCAGAACCACTGTGCTGGGAGTGCTTCAGTTTTTGGTAGTGTGCAGCAATAGTAGTTGGTTTGGGGTTTATTTTAAAGCTACAAAAAGCCTGCTCAAGGAGGATTTCAGGCGTGGAACACATCCTCAAGCTGGCCACTGAGATGGATGCAGAAAGAGGAAAGAGCTTTTGGTGTTATTAATGGCAGCAGCTGCGTTGACCAGCATCTTGCAAAAGTCCTTAGTTATGGCAGTGAGGGACATACAGAATCCTTTTGCTAAGGCCACAGAGACATTAAAATTATTTCTGTGCCTTGTGATGGGTGTTCTAAAGGTGTGGGTACTGTGGCAGCAGGAATTGTGAGGGAAGAGTGGTCTCATCCATGCACCTTTGGAGCACCTGTCTCTGCAGAGTCTTAATTGCTAAAGTGCTTGGTCCTAAATTTCAATTATCTTTTGATGAACCTGGTGATGTGGGTGGCTTTTGAATCTGTTGGATCTAGGTGGAAGTAATTATATGAATAATTAAGAGAAGTAATTTAATTTGGGCACTCTTTTTTAGTTATTTGGATAGAATTGGGTGTCCATCTTTCCTCCTTCTCTGTGAAGAAAGGTTGTTGCTCTCAACAGATCTTTTTCCTGTTCTACTATAGCTTAAAGAAAAAGACACGATTCCCTCAAACTGTGGAGTTGTGTGAGGGCAGGAATAGCTGGGAAAAGGTGGAATGAGCTGGAACTGAACAGTGGAGGGTGATGTTTGCTGCAGACCTGTTCTGGACCACCTCTACTTGGGAGTTCAGGAGAAGAAGGGGCATTTTGCTGAAGTGGGTGTCCTGAGAGCAATCACAGATGGCAACTGCTGCTTAAGGATGACGGGGGACATTTATCGACATGTTGTCAAGTAGAGCCTTAGGAACTTTAGGCACTGTTGAAAATTTGGCTTAAATTGCTTATTTCACAGTCTCACTGGAAGCTGGTGGAAGGAAAACTCTTAAGCCATCTTGGTGTTCTCCCTGGAAAGCTGGAAGGATGGGGTTTAAGATGTCCCATCAAAGGATTAATTTTTCAAAGCCCGTTTCTTGTGCAGCTCAGATGGGCAAATGCCCTGTCTCCTTTGTCCCCTTTGTGACTCAAGTGAGTCAGACTTTGTCTTGGTTTACTGGCAATATGTCCCAGGAGGGCTGCAGAGAAGCAGCTTTAAGATGAAGACATGACAGTTGGCTATTTCTTACCAGTGCTGCTGGCAGAGGCAGACAGCTCGTGTTCTGTCAGCACTCATCGCTGCTGAAGGATCAGTTACCTGCTCTCAGAGATTCCCAGTTCCACCCAGTCCCCCAGCCAGCTCTCCCAGAAGTCATCCAGAGGATGGCTGGGAGATGAAGCCAGACAAACTCAGGTGAGAAAGAAGACATGTAAATTAACAGGCAGAATAACTGTGGTGGTGGAGGGTCCTCCCCCTAAAAATCAGTTCTTATCATGACTAGGCACCTTGCTGGAAGAGAGGCTTTAGCCAAACCCAAGTTATGAGCCTGGAAATCTGGGAGGCAGTGATGGATGAGGAATCAGATTGCTGGTGTGGTCCCTTCTGGCTCTAAGCTTTGAATAAAAGCCTGAAGTGGGGGCAGCCTAAGTAGGGGGCAGTTGCCTTGAGGCTGGTCTTGGCCAGCACCCCTTGTTACAAATGCCTGTTCCCTTTGGCAGTACTGGGTTGTTGGGTCCCTATAATTAAAGAAGTAAAATGTATTTAAACAAATATGTCTGTGCTAATTGCTTAGGACACATTTTCCAGTGCTCTGAGTTGCTGTGATGAAGAAGGGGACATGCTGCTAGGCTGCTTAGAGCTTCACTGTTTCGAGCTGTCATGAGCAAATATGTCTTCTATATTCCTGCCAGGAATAGAGGGAGCAGACGGTGCTGCTGCTTCCTCCAGCTTGCCATGGTGCAAGCAATAGGTTTCATGCAGAAGGCTGTTCATGGCAAAGTGAGCAGACGTCTCTTCCAGGACATCGATGTTTCCTGCTTGTCCTTTTGTAGGAAGAGCCACAGCTACTATTATTTAACCAGCAGGCCCAATTTCATCTCAGATACTGGAAGTCCTTCAGCTTCAGGAAAGAGTGGGTGGACTGAAAATGCTATTTACATTGAGCCTGGCAAAAGAATCAGGTCTTTCTCTTCTCCCACGGCCAGCAGCGACTCTGCTCATGGCAGCTTGGTTCCTTGTGATTTACAACAGCGTGGGAGGAGAGCAGAGCCCACATGTTGGATAGGCTGGGAGTGCAGGTGGCCAGCCCTGTGCATGGCTGAAGGGGTGGATCTGGTACAGCAAAGATGAGCTGCAAACCAGCCAACCTTTGGTAGCGATGTGCCCGGAGAAGCTCTGTCTCTGAGGAGCAGGAGGGTGGGCTATCATTCCGCTCAGGTTTTCCTGCCTTCCAGAGAAGGACCTAACCACCGTGTGCTCTTGCTTCACAGGAACCCGGATGGGGAGCAGGACACCTCTGCTTTGAGGTGATGGCAAAACCATCTGGGATCTTCACCTAGTGATTGAAAAACGTGTTCCATAGCACTTCATCTTTAAAGCCTGTGGGAGTTCTTGGCCACTCAGGAGAGCTCTCCTGCGTGGCTGGGATCCACCAACCAGTTGCTCAGCTGTCTGTACCTCTGGAATGAGGTGATGCCTCTTGGCTTCTTCTGTCTTCCCACAGCCACCACAGGCAGTGCCACTCAGAAGGACAGCTGGGGTCCTGCCTGCCTGTGGACAGGAAGTCCTACTTCCCAAAAAGGCTGAGCTCCAGAGGGGTTTGTGCCTTGAAGAAGCAAGGTGCCAGCTCAGCCTGTGCCCAGTGTCTGCTTGTGACTTGCAGTGTTGGGAATTGCTCCGAGCCTGATTTCCTGAGAGGCAGCGCTTCGAGGTGGAGTACGTGCTCCTTAAAGCTCATGGCCTGCTGACAGGCAATATTAGTCCTGTTCTCTGCAAGAGAGCAGGAAGCTGAGTGCAAAGATGTTAAGCGTTGAAGGTCATGTAAATTGTGTCCATCCAGGTGCTCTTTCTCTGGTGTTCATGCTGTTTTGTGGCCTGCACTAGTGTTAGGCGTCCAAGTGTGTAGACAAGGCAGTGACATCTTTATCTTGTCTAGCTTAGACAAAAACTCCAGGTATCCCGCTGATACAAAATTCTGTTGGCAGATGTCCTGTATGTTCTCCCTCCTGCAACAGGGTGGGGAGGGGGGAAGTAAAAGGAAGGCTCTGGTAGATGAGATTTAGGGCTCTGGACTTCTGCAAAAAAATTACAGCTTGGGAACAAAGACTTGTAAATTGATGGGTTGGGACTGTGGTGTGCTGAGAAGGGGGTGCTGAAGGCCCTGGGCTGCAAGCAGACCTCTATGTCTAATGTTCACGTGGCCCTGCTCATCTTACCAGTGATGTAGGGAGAAAATGAACTGGACCCAAACCACTTAGTGCTTTGCAGATCAAAACTAGCTTCTCAGAGTCTCCTCTGTGTTTCATAGATGATCTGAACAGGTCTTCCTGCCCTGCTTTCCCACCTGTCCTTTCAGAAACCAGCTGCTGAATTCAGGATCAGCTCCAGCCCCTGACTGCAGGCACAGCCTGGCACTGCAGTGCCTGATCTGGTGGGCACTCACACCTCCATGAGCTGTGTGGCACACTGGGGAGGCTCTGCTCCCTTTTTAAAGCTCCTGGGACTCAGGACTCAATCCAGATCTGCTCACTGAGGTTTGAACACTATCGAGGCTCTTTAGGTCTCAGGGTAAACTGCTGAATTCGTGGAATGTGAGTTCAGAATGGGGATCTTGCTGTAACCACAGAACTGCAGCACAGTAAACTACTGGAATGTGTAAACTGAAAAGTAGTTTTTACTTACTCTTCTGTCTTGCAGAGCAAAATGCTGACAGGGTCCCTTTCCTTCTCGTTAGCTGGGTTTTGTGAGAGCAGTGTGGAGACCACGGTGAAAGGAGGCCAGTGGGTGCCATGGAGCTCCCCAGTTACAGCCAGCAGCTGCTGCCCCAGCTGTAGACCCTGTGCAAGGAGCAGCACTTCTGTGACTGCACCATCTTTATTGGGGACGTGCATTTTAGAGCACACAAGGTGGTTTTGGCTGCTGGCAGCCTGCTGTTTAAACCCCTCTTGGACCGTACAGACAGCATCTCCATTGATGCTTCTGTGGTGGTGCCTGAGGAGTTTGCACTCTTGCTGGAGATGATGTACAGTGGCAAACTCCCACTGGGGAAACACAATTGCACCAAAGTTATCTCTGTGGCAGATAGTCTGCAGATGTCTGATGTGGCTGTTAGTTGCAAAAGCCTCCTCAGGGACCTCATAAGCTGTTCTCCTCGGGACCAGGTACACTGAGAGGAGTCTCCAGCCAGGCAGCAGATTCATCTGAAAACAAAGCTGAAGCTAATAACCTGCCCCAGTCTGGAAAACCCAAAGAAGAAAAAACAGATATCCTCCTCACTCAGAGAGTTTTCCCTTTACCTGGCCCTGTAGAAGCAGAAATGGAAGCAGATGTTTCTCCTCCTGGCCAGGAACTTACTGTGAATTGCACCTGGGTTCACGAGGACTTGATGTCGAATGTCTCCAGGTCCCTCCAGGAGGATTCAAGCTCTGGCCCTGACCAGCCTGCCCATGCTGAGTGAAGTGGCTGTGTGGAAGAGCCTCCAGAGCTTGCTGAGCCTCCAGAGGGGAAAGGGCGATCGAGGGCTTTGGGTGAGACTTCACAGGTCTGGGCACAGCATTGCCTCCTGTTGGCAACACATCGACTCACATTTTCCTGTTATGGGGTATCTTTTTCTCCGTGTTGGATCTTTTTAGTTTACCCTGGGTTGGTAGCAACACCCTGTTCTGCAGGGATTTTCTTCCTTTGGCTTTTGCAGTTGTTTCACGCTCACCATTTTGCCAGAGCTGTAGTGAGCAAAATTTTTCATGCCTAGGTGTGTGAATGCATCTGCCATGCTGTGGGATCTGTGTTTGTGCAGGACATGGGGCTGATCAGACAGTCTGTCTAACAGCAAGTGAACAGAGTTGCCTACTAATGCTACCTTATCCTTTAAACTCCTATTCAGCATGGGAGGAAAACAGAGGCTGTACTGGGTTTAAAATAAATGTTCCATTTATAACTGGTGTTAAATAAACCGTTGGTTTTCCCTCCAGGCTGTGTGATGTCTTCAGAAGGGATTTGTAAGTCACAGTTTTCCTGTTATAGCCAATGTGCTGGTTACAAACCGATGCCTTTCAGTCACATCGTGCTTTCTGCGAATCCCTTCAATTAGCAAATAACTCATCTTGTTTTTCTCTCGCACAGCAGCAGAGAGCAAAAGCTGTAAACTGGATTTCTTTCTTCGATATGAAAGTGTTTTCTCCGAGGCCCTTTCTGATGCCCAGGCTGTGCTGAAAAGACTCGAGCAGAGAAACTGATGCCTCTCAAAAGGAGGTAGGTGTGTTTACTTCCATAAATGATACAAGTTTTTCTTAGCCCATCCTGCTAAGGGCTAGGATAGTGTGCCTTGCTCAGGAAATTGTTGCATGGGAAACTGGTGCCTGGTTGTTTGAAGGGCACCATGTGCTCACCTGAGCACCACCCTGGAGAGAAGCATCTGTAAGTGCAAGCTGCTCACGCACACAGTTAAAAAGTATGTCCTGCCCTGAAGACATCCTTGTGTTTTAGGAGAGCTCCAGCACAGATTTCTCTCCTCCTGTTTATGGCATTTGCTTCAGGAACTGCATCGACTTGTAAACAACTGACATGTGAGATCCCAATATAGATTTCCCAAGCTCTTGGCACTGTCTTGCTGTGGAGCCTCTGCTGCACTCTGTGGATGGCAGAGCTGCTGAGGGGGCAGTGGAATGGGGGTGGAAGGGGGGTGCCAGGTGCTGCCCCGTGATGCTTCTCCTGGCAGTGTGCTGCTTTAAGAGCAGTCAGAGCTGGTGAATGATGCTTGGTTTCTGTTGGAGGGGATAGCTGAGTCTGGTGCTTGGGGTGTGCTGAAGAGTACTCTGGGCTCTGAGCAGTGGTAGCCACATACCAGCTGTTGTCCCAGCTCAGAGCCACCACAGAAACAGCAGGACATGGAACATTTTGGCCGTGGTGGCATTCTGCTTATAAAAGCCCAAGGCATTATGTCTGTTAGAAAAAAAACCTCCAAAACATGTATGACAGCAGGGAGGAGAATTCCCTTGAGCTGGGGAGCAAAGGATGGCTGAGTCCTTAAATGTTCATGGAGGGAAACCCGAGTTCCCTTAGCTGCTGGTTCTCCTGATGTTATTGAATGTAACATTCATGGCCTTTAGGAGACAGATTTCCATTTGCAGCAGCAAGCCCAAGCCTGGCTGGGCTGACCAGCACCTCTGAATGCCCTGCTCAGAGAAGGATTAGTTTTTTGTACGTTTGTTTGTTGCCCTGATCAGAACAATATGTCAGGTTTAAGGTTTTACTGTTCTCCACCCTTACAATAGGAGCAGAGCTGGGGTGAGTGCTGTGCAGTGGGGATGGGCGTGGCCAGAAGGAATTTGGCAGCTCAATGCCCCCGTGCCAGCAGCACCACCACTGTCTCCTGCCCCCCTTGCTGCTCACGGCAGGGCAGAGCTGTGCCGGCAGAGTGCCCAGGCAGGTGAGCTGCAGCTTCTGTGCTTGCTATTGCTTTGCAGTCACTGCTGTTTCATGGTCCTTCAGCACCTCAGACCCAGCAGGGAAGGTTCACAGACCCATTTGCGGCCCTTTGTGCTCCCAAAAGAGCTGTTGCAGCAGGAGCCAAGTAGAGAGGTTGTGGTGCTCAGAGCCGGTTTGGGTGTCTGACTGCAAAGCGGTAGCTGGACAATTTTTCTGCAGCTATAAATAAATGCTGAATAAATGAGAAATGGATTTTCTTTAAGCCTTCCCGAAAAATCACTTCTCAGCTGTGACAAGCATGAAAAGTGTCAGCCCCAGGGCAGTGGGGGAACAGGCTGCAGCCTGTTGTAAGCAAGGACTCAACCAGATCTGTCCCTCTCTGAGCTCCCCTCTGAGATCAGCGGGACCTCTGGGCGCCAGCACTGAGTCTGGGCTCTGTTTGTAGCACACAGAACAGCTCTTTCCCAGAAGGGCCTGGTGTTTTCTTTAGGGGGAAGCACAGCGGTGTGTTTTTAAAGTCATGCTTGAAGTGCAAGTTCAGCTCCTAAGAGCCCAGCTCGGATGTGTAATTCAGGCTGAGGTTGTGCCAGTGGTAGATGTCAATGGATTTTCTTTCTCTCTCCTTTTTTTTTCCCCTCCCCTTCTTTGTATCCTTTTGCTAGTCATTTGCTTGAAGTCTTGGGTGGCTCGGGGCAAGTAAAAGCAGGTCTGGAAGCCGGTGAGATGCGGTTTCTTTGCAGAAAGCATTGCTGGGTGTGCTTGCCCTGCTGCAGGGGAGGTCTCCTATCCCTCGGGTGCTTCTGCTTGGGAGCCTTTTGGGGGTGGCTGATCTCTCTGAGCAAGTGGTGATGTGCTTTGGGCAGCAAAGCCTGGGCAGTGTGAGGGTTCAGGGGGGTTTTGCAAGCCTGCCTGTTGGCACCAAGGCTGTCCTGGTGTTCAGGCTCCTCTGGTTTCTCTGGGATTTGGGGTTGGATGCTTCTTTATTTCTTTTCTGTTGCTGGCGAGCTCATCCCTGCATGGTGCCTTGTTCCCTGCAGCACTCCTGTCTGCTCCCCTCTGCTGTTCCTGCCTATTCCCTCCTGCTTCCAGTGGAGACTTGTTTGGTCGTGGGCTTTTTTCCTCAAGAAGGTTTGTGGTACAAGGCTGGCTTTTGTGAGAACTACTGCTTCTCTTCTGATTTTGGTGGTCTGTTCTGCTCCCCGAACTGAAAAATGCAGATGAATTGCTTTTCAGTTTAGGGAGATGTGATTTTTGGGCTTGTTTTTGCTTTAGAGTTTCTCTGTATATCTCACATAAACTGTTCCTATCTAATTTGGTTCCGGCTTGGATGAAACCTGCTTGGAAATGAGAACAAGACTGAAATTGCAGTAATTTGGGGAAGCGTGGAAGAGCTTTGCTGGTGTCAAGTCTTATCTTCCTGTGCTCTCTTAGAGAAACTCAATTCAAATTATTGCACAGCTCATTTGTTCCCTGTACTGCTGGGTTCAGATGAAGTGGGGGAGCGCTGATGCTCCCACGTAGAATAAATGTCACTGTGCTTGTGGATCGTTTCCATTGCCTGTGGGCCTGTCCAATCGTTGGTTGTCGTCCTTCATTTGCAGCTGCAGGGATTTCTGGATGCAGCAGAAGAAAGAAGTTTCCTGTTATCTTCTGCATCCTGATTAGCAGTGAAAGCTTGTGAGGGTTTTGCTTTTTTTCCTGTCGCGGTGACAGAGCTAGAGAACTTTTTTCCACCCTGTTCTGGTGTACTTGTGTAGAAGTTTGGGCTGAGCTTTTGCTCCTGTTGTGTCGAGCAAGCAGGAGGTCAGCATTGTCCACAGAGCCTTCATGGGGTCTCCCTCATCAGTCACATACAGATGCAGGCTTGAAAAAAAAGCAGTTTGGGTTTCTGAAGGAGAAATGGGAACACAGTTTTTTTCTGATTATTATATGCACAGTGATAGTTGATTGACTTCATGGTGGGGTCACAGCCAAGGAGCTTCTCTGAGAGCCAGGTGTGTGGAGCCTGTCCTGGGCCTGTCCGTGCACCAGCCCTGCCAGTCTGTGCAGGTTTCCAATGACTTTTTAAAATTTTTTTCACCTTCTTCACATTGAAAATTAACAGTATAAAACCCAAAGCAGCATTCATTCACAGGGCACTGATGTTGTGGCTCTGGAAGTTTCCCCATGGTGCCCAGCCTCCTGTGGTGTACCTGAGTGTCCCTCTGCTCACACAGGAGAGGTCTGAAGGGAGCCAGCTTCTTCTGCCACCCTGAACAGCTGCTTTTCAACCTGTCTCTTGCAGATCCCTCCTCACCACCCTCTGGAAGTTTGCATTCACTGTAAAGCCAATGCTTGAAGGAGATCACTCAGAAATAGTCACTAAAGTGGCTTTCGCTGGGATGTTGCTCTCACGGTGGGAGCAGGAGCATTGATAAGGCATGAAAAGCCATAACCCTGGTCTCCCACCTGCAGGGAAGAGCTAGTGGCCAGTTGGGCTAGTGACTGCCCTGCCCTCCCTCTCTCCTCACATCCCCTGTTAGTCTCAGTTATGGGCCACTGCACCTTGCCTGGGGGATGTACATTGTTTGCCCATCTGGTTGAGGTCCTCCCTGGAAAAACATGGAAGATGTGGAGATGATAGAGAGATAGGAGAGCTACCTCCTGGGCCCTTACCTGCAGAGATTCCTGTTCAGAGATTGCCTTGGGGCTGCCGTGGCCACGGGAAGGCCTGAGATGAACTGGGAGGGCTGTTCCATGGTGTGTGACCATTGAGGTGGTATGTGAGCTGGGAGTGTTGTGGCCTCCAGAACTGACATCCTCAACTGGGGCCAAACTTCTCAGTCACCATGGAGCCTGTTTGGTGGCACAGCTCAAGCTTAAGCCAGGTCTTGGTGACTCAGTTTCCCTCTTGCTCCCATCTGGAAGCTGGATGTGTGCTAATTTGTGCCAACTTGGCCAGGAAGGGTTTTGCAGCATCCCAGGCAGTGAAAGCCTGATGGATGTGGGGGCATATTATGACTAAGTGGAAGCTGGGATTCCACCTAGGATCAGTATTTCTCCATTTTTTCCGGGATCTTTTGGAATTGTTAGTGCTTCAAAGTAAGTATAAAATGTACTGTGTGCTCTTTCATAGCAGTGCTAAAAGGCTGTTGTTCCCACTGAGCAACATGTCTGAGGAAAAGTCTTCTGGAAAGAGCCCATAAATAGCAGATCAGTTACTGAAAAGTCATTTCCATTAACCAAGTCCATGCACTGAGGAAGGGATGTTGCCTGGGGCTCTGGGTAGCAATGCTGTGCTATTTTAATTAAAAAAAATCCCAAAATTAAAAAATATATTGCAACAATGACAAGTTATTTTTCATCCATATTATTACAAGCATGGATTCGGGAGGATCTGAACACCTTCAGGATGGTGAGAGTGGAGGTATTTTGTGTTTTACAGGCTCGTTTTGATCTGGAAGAGGCCAGGCACGCAAACCTTGAGAACAAACATGATCTGGTTATCAAGTCTCGTTACAAATTAATGTTTGCATTAGAAAAAAAATACCTTTAAGTTTGTTCTCCAGCGCATCTGCGGCATCTCCTTTCTTCTTTACACCAGAGCCCTTCATGTCCACAGCCTCTGTTCGGCAGGAAAACCGAGTGGGAGAAGCTGGGACTGGTGCAGCTTCCCCTCTGAGGATGGTCACTGCACTGGGTCATTGCACTGCCTTGCTCCCCAAATCCATGAGCATTTCCACCTGCTGGGAAAGCCAGCCCACCCTCCCCCGGCGCAGCCCCAAGCAGTTGCACTGAGTCTTTTTATCACTGGAATAAAAATGACAGTGACAGCAGAAAATGGCCGTTCTCCCTGGAGCGGGGCTGAACTCCCCACTTCAAAGGTACCTTTATAGCATCCCTGGAGTCTCCAGTAAAGGCCACCTGCTCCGAAAGGCTGGCATCTCTCCTGGAGAGCTGGGGAGCGTGTGTCTTCAGGGGCAATGTTTACAGCACTAAAGGACTTGGGGGAAATAGGAGCAAGAGTTCCAGCTTATTTCTTTGCCTTTTATTTCCATAACTGCACGGGCTCGTTTGCCTCTGGTTGCTGTTTCAGGTCACTGAAGTAGATTTTGGAGCTCTGGGTTTGATTGCCCGGCATGCTGGGAACCCCTGGCACTCAAGAGTTTGTGTGCCTCCTCTCCAGAGCTCTCTCTAGGAGACAAAACTCCACTGTGATTGAGGTTGGAGATTCCTGAAAGTTTGAAGACTCTCTGCTTTCTATGCAAGTGATCCCCTCTTGTTCTGCAGTGAGATCCCCGTCCCTTGCCCCAGCCTTGGCCTTCCAAAGTAGTGGTTATAGTCCGTGGTTTATCAGGTCCCTTACACTTATTGGCCTATGGCTGTTTGGGGAAGACATGAAGAGAGGTTTGGTGCTGGAACCAGCTCCAGTTTGTGGGATTTGCTGTACAGGTAAGGGCTGGCAGCAGGGCTTGCTGCCTTCCTTCCCAGGGCTGGAGCTTGGGTTCAGTAGTGTGTGTCTATGTGGGGTTGTTTGTTTTTTTTTTTTCTGTTTAATTTTGTCCCCTGAACAAAACCCCGGGGTTCTGCTTGTTATGTGTGTTTGTATAGGGCAGTTCACTCTGTTATGCAAGTCTTCTTGCATTTCTGTTCTGCTGTAGGCTCTGGCTGCCTGTCTCACCAAGGCAGGGGAACAGTCACTGTTGAAGTTGCTGAGCAAAGTGGAGCATGCTCGGCTCAGGGATACTCACACCCAGGATAGTGACACCCAGGACACTTGGCCCCTGGACACTCAGACGCTCCTGTCTTTTCTGAAGCTGTTTCAAGACATGAATTCCAGGCTGAGAGCAGCTCTGCCGGAGAGGGAACAGGGCACTGGAAAAGCCCCATGGCAAGGAGGTAGGAAATTGGGTGCTGCCTCTTTGCAAATTGAGTGGGTAATCTTACAGGCAAAGCAGAGAAACCCTGTGTCCTTGGATGCAGGAGGTTTATCACGTGCTGGCCAAGATCCTGGAGCATTTCTGCCTGCAGCAGCAGCTGTAGCCATGCAGGGCTCTCCCCATCACTGCCCGGAGGGCTGGATCGATGGCTGGCAGCTAACGTGGGTCAGAGCACAGCTGAGGCTTGGGATTGAAGGCTTCTTTCTTACTCGAGCCTGACACAAAGCAGTGGCCTTGCAAACCTGGTGTTAACCTCCAGCTTGCTTTATGGCTTTGTGCTCTGTTAGATAAATCAGACATTTTCCTTTCATAGAGTTTAAAGAGAATAGTAAAGTGATTTTCCTCTGCTGCTTGTGCTTGGGATGAGCTTTGCTATTCACTTAGATCTTTCACAGAGTCTCCCTTGCTTCAGGAGCCTGTCAGTTCCTTCAGACTGACTTGTTTCTTCTCTTGTGTTTCTGAATCCCTTTCCCCCCAGAGAACAGAGCTGAGGAGGAGACGCTGACCGCTCGCTTGCTGGGCTGCAGGGAGGAGCTGATCCAGAGCGTGACACAGCTGAGCCCCATCGTGGAGTTCTTGGAGGCAGCAGAAGAGGGATTCCTGACCCCCTTGGAGAAGTGGGTAAAAGCATCTGGAATGAGGCAAACTCTGTGGGCGAGGTGGGATGTGGGTGGGATGCAAAGCAGTGTCGCACCGTGGTTTGCCTCACCTGGCCGTTTCACCTGCCTTCTGCAAAGCACGTGTGTGGTCTTGGGTCCTTCTGTGCTGGACTGTGGGAATAGTGACAGCTGAGCAGTGAAGGCAACCTCAAAACCAGGATCCGTGTCAGACTGCCCCTGCAAGTGGAGCCTGGGGCAGAGGAGGTGCCTGGTATTCCTCCTAGCCCCGAAAATACCTTTTTGGGAGCATGGAGAAGGCTCTGTAGGGGAGTGTGAGCAGAACCGCTCTGCTACGTGCTTGCCAGTTCCTGGTCATCAGCTTCCCTTTCAGCTGACTCCCAGCTTTAACTCTTTTTTGTGGCTCTTACCACACAGTTGTCTGCAAGACTAACTGATTTGGTGTTACTTTTTATGTGTTGAAGGCAGCAGTGGGTGGGGAGGACTGTTGCTCTCCTTTCATGTAAGCAGTTGCACTATGTGTGCTGATTTGCAGAAGCCATAAAGGACAAAGTTCTGTGTATAACCTGCTTTCCTTTGTGTTTGGGGGGAGCTGGCTGTACCCTGTGCAGCTGGAACTTACAGGGTGCCCTCACATGCTGCAATCAGGATGCAAGCTTGAGACCTCCTGTCCTAGTTTGTCACATCAGTTAGTTCCTCTGACACAGGATTATAGTGAGTGGAAAGTTGTGCTCAGTGGCATGAATGATCTCTGCTTTCTGTCTGAGTGATCCTGACCAGAGCCACAACAGCTGGGCTGAGAACCTCTGCCCGGCTCATAATCCCCTCAAGTAAGGTCTGCCTTGCTCCTGGTCCCTCACTGGATCCAGAGTGGAGCATCCCTGAGCACAGGCACAGCTGAGCACCAAGCTCTGGCACCTTCATCAGCAGTGGGGAAATTAGTATTTTCATATATGCCTGTTCATGTTGCAGTATGGCCTTTCTTTTAAAGGCTGCACCTTTTCCTTGCGCTCTTCTTTTTGTCTTCGTGGAATCAGGTAGTTAAAATTCAGCCATTTTTTGCTTCCCTTCCCATTTTAAAAAACAAACACAACCCCCCAGTAATAACCAAAACCATTCTGCCATCGTAATTCTGCTCCTTGGGCACAGGATACAGCCTGTAGTTGCATCATCATGTGCTGCAGGGCTTCTGCCTCCTTTGGTGGAGGAGCAGTGTTATTCCATGTTTCTTTTCATCCTTGTCAGTCACTGTGTGCTCCGTTTGCTGCAGAGCCTCCAAACCCTGCTCCGAATACCAAATCCTTCTCCTCTCTATGGGATCCCTTCATGCTCTTGTTTCAGCCCACAGTTTCCCATCGAATAACAGATTTATTTGGGGAGCACTCTGGTAAGGAGGGGGGCAGAGCTCTGTCCTGCTGTGGCACAGGAAAACAAGGCAGAAGTTGCCAAGCGCAGACTTGATCTTAACAGCTTCCCTGGTTTTCAGGTTTGGTTTATTTGTTTAATTCTACCCTCTCCCCTCAGACCAATGGAAAAGTGTTTAGTTATTCCAGAAAAATTGATTAAAATGGCAGGCCCATAGCACATGTGCAGGTGGGATCTCTGGTATCTCAGGGACTGGGAAAAAGAACATGGAATTAGCAGCCACCTCTGAAGGTTTCGTCTTACCTGATTCAGCCAGTGCTGCACTGGAGCTCTGGGCTGGCAGGGATGGGATCTAGTTCTCCAAGGGTTCATGAAGATGAGGCTTTCCTTTTTCTTCTCACAGTCGCTGCCTCATTAGCTACATATTTATTCAGCAAGATAAGTGGTAGTTTCTCATGTAACAGCCTTTTTTCTGGGCAACTGGGTTCTTTCTGTGCCTGGTCTGAGCTGTGCATGGAGCAGGTTTGATTTTCTTTGCTGGAAAATCAGTACACGATGTTTTGTGAAGCCTCTTCGTAAATCTCTGGGTTTTTTTCTGGGGAATTTTTTAACCTAGCCTTTCTCTTTTTTTGAGTGCTTAACTTCTGTGGCTTTTTGGTGTTTCTGTAATGTGCGGAGATGGGGCAGAGGATTTGGAAGCAGATTATCACCTAAAAGAAATAAAGCTGGATACAAAGGAAGAGCAGGTAACCTTTCATTCGTGGTGTCTCATGGCTTAGGTTGTTGCAGAGTTCAGTGACCACTTCACAATGCAGCGTGAGCTCCCCAAGAGATGCTGCTCTGGCACCTCTTCTCACACTTCAGACTGAGGGATCCTGAGGCAGCTCGGTGTGAATTGGATGGGAGGACACATCAACAGGTTCACTAACAGAGTTTGGGCTACAAAAGGACGGATCTTTAGAAATGAGAGAAACTAATTAAGGAGTTCAGGTGCTCATTAGAGCGGAGGAGGAGCTGTTGGATTAGTTTCTTTTATGTTAAAGGTAGGAGAACTGTCTGAAGTTTGCATCCTGAATGAGAGAGAACTTCTATAAGAGGTTACAGACCTGAGTGAGTGAATAACTTGAGGAAAGGTTTTAGGTCCTGCAGGGAATGGCCAAAACATATGAGAGGCAAATAAATGTACTGTAGAGCTGTGAAGAGGCTTGTGGCACATCAGGCTGCTGGGCATCATGGCAGATATCATGACAAGCAACAGACATTTGTCTGATCAAGTAAAGAAAAAGGAGAGGGATGACCTGTAAACTCTTTTCTGAGCCTGGGGCCCTATCCAGGAGAAGCACAGAAACAGAAATTTCCTACAGCTGAAGGCAAATTACAGCTCAAAGGACATCTCTCAACAGTCAGTTAAGACCAATTTGATGCTTTCTGTGATGGCATGGCAGGATGGGGCGATGAGGGGAGAGCAGTGAATGGTGTCTACCTTGACTTCAGCAAGGCATAATATCCTCACAGGTAAGCTCAGGGAATGTGGGTTAGGTGAATGGACAGTGAGGTGGATCGAGAACTGGCTGAATGGCAGACTCAGAGGGTCGTGATCAGTGGAGTAGAATCCAGTTGGAGGCCTGTAGCCAGTGGCATTCCCTAGGGATCAGTCCTTGGTCCAGTCTCATTCAACTTGTTTATCAAACACCTGGATGAAGGGATCAAATGCACCCTGAGCAGATTTTCTGATGATATGGAACTGGGGGGGAGTGGCTGGTACATCTGAAGGCTGTCCTGCAATTAAGCAGGACCTTGATAGGCTGGAGAATTGGGCAGAGAGAAACCAAATGAGGTTCAACAAGGGCAAGTGCAGGTCCTGCACCTGGGGAGGAACAACCCCAAGTACCAGCACAGGTTGGGGGCTGAATTACTAGAGAGCAGCTCTGCTGAGAAGGACCTGGGTGTCTTGGTGGGTGACAAGCTGTCCCTGAGCTGATGATGTGCCCTGGGGACCAGGAGGGCCAGTGGGATTCTGGGGTGCACTGGGAGGAGTGTTGCCAGCAGCTGAGGGTGGTGATCCTGACCCTCTACTCAGCCCTAGTGAGGCACATCTCGAGTGCTGTGTCCAGTTCTGGGCTTCTCAGGACAAGAAGGGTAAGGAGCTATTGGAGAGGGTCCAGTGGAGGCCAGAAAGGTGGTGAGGGGTCTGGAGCATCTCTTGTATGAGGAGAGATTGCAGGAGCTGGGCCTGTTTAGTCTGGAGAAGACTGAGAGGGGATCTCATTAATACCTTAAAGGCAGATGCTGAGTCTTTTCAGTGCCAGACTCTTTTCAGTGGTGCCCAGAGACAGGACGAGGAGCAATAGCCATAAACTAAACCACAAGAAGTTCCACCTCAACTTGAGGAACAACTTCTTTCCATTGAGGGTGGCAGAGCACTGGAACAGCTGCCCAGGGAAGGTGTGGGGCCTTCCTCTCTGGAGACATTCCAAACCCACCTGGACAAGTTCCTGTGTCATCTGCTCTGGATGACCCTGCAGAAATTTCTGTTCCAGTCTGGTTCAAAAAAGGTGAATTCATATTGGAACTTGACAGATCTGCAGTGGGAAGATCAGGGGAGTGGAGAAGCTGCTTTATGGGAGGAGCTGCCTTATATAGACAAGGGAAATGAAGACTGAAAGGGAATATGATTGTGCTCTTATAATGAAATTGGAGAGGAAGGGTAGAGTAAACATCTCAGAGAGTTTGGAAGGCTTTTTAAGCTAAAAGATAATGCTAGCACATGTACAAACAGGCATACACTGGCCATGAATAAATTTTAGCTGAAAATCAGAAGAATTAGCAGGGGAATGAAGCTGTGGAAGAGCTTTTCAACCAGGGGAAAGGGAGTAAAAATGTAACTAGTTTTAGGACAGATCTTAATAATTTTATTGATGGGACTGTGAAGTGTAGTGCTTTTGTCAGCAGGGAACTGAGCTGGTGCCCTGCAGAGGTTCTGCTCAGGAGCATAGCATTGGTGGAGAGGAGGTCAACCTGTATTTGTTGGCTGCCTCTCCCTTGGAGGTATTTTACTGGTATCCTAGAGATCTTCCAAGCTATGGTGGTTGCATCTAATGTAAGAGATGTCTCATGTGGCCTCGTCAGAGAAAGAATAATTCAATTAATAGATGATTATTTAAATAAAGAGAATGTTTTTTTTCTGCCCATCTGTTTTTTGACGGCAAGCAGAAAAATTGGGGAGACAAGGGAAAAGAGGCTCTCAATTTTAAAAGTATTTACTAAAAATGTTATGTTGGTTTGAACACTGTCTTTAAGTCTATTTTTGTTTCCTTTAAAAAAATGTTTTTTTGCTTGTCAGCCACTTCCAAGAGCTGGAACTTGGTGGAAGAACCCACGAGGGTGGTCTTCGAGCCGATGCACATCGATTACACCTGGGACACGTGCAGGTGTTCCTGTAAGTTAAGCACCCTGTAACACCTCCCAGTTAAACTGTGGAAGCAGTGGGTATGGATTTATTGCAGTACTGTGATGCTGTTCCTGTTTTTCTGATCTCAGTTCAGATCCAAGAGTTGGTAGGAAGCTATCACAGGCAGGTTTGTGGCTGGTTTTTTTGTTGCAGGTAGTTTTGGATTGCTGTGAAAGCAGCTCTGAGAGGGAAGCCATGGACAACCTGCTCAGGAAGGGGGATGAAGAGAAAACCCTGAATGTGGAAAGCTTGATCAAACTTCTGGGGCTTGTGAAAGCATCATTCCCTGGGCTCCAGCTTCTGCTGGACAACTTGGTGGCAGCAGCAAACATCTCTGATAGCAAAGGTATGGGTAGACTAAACTTCCACTGGTGACTTTAACTTATGGTACTGACTGGCTTTGAAAGCAAATAGCTAAAAATTCCCCAAAATTGTAGATGTTGACATTAAATACAGACAGTCTCATACCTGGAAGTCCTTGTGATTGAGGGAGATGGGGGTGAAATTTATGTGGGCTGGGCTCCTGTCCTTGATCCAGGTAGCATTTCAGCTCGTGGTCTCTTATGTGGAGCAGAGTATGCTGATGGGAATCCCATACTTAGTGTCCCTGGGATGGCCAGGTCCCTGCTCCTGTTTATTTTGGTGGGATTTTATTGTTGCTGCCTGCCTGTGATGGTTCAGGGACTCGGGAGCCCCCATCTTTTGCCTGGTGGGACAGTCTCCCAACTTTGGGTGTGTTTAGACGTACCCCGAGCAATTCACATCCAGAGACTCTGAAGTCACATAAAAATTAAAAACTAAATTAACATGCAGTGAAATGTAAATGAGTGTTTAATAGAAAGCAAAACTGTGCTCATAATGCTGATAATTTCCTCTGTAGCAAACATTCCCGACAGGCACTTTGCTTTGTCATTTGTTAAGCACGATTGCTTTCTTGAAACACCAGACTCCCAGCATGGCTAATTATCTCGTGGTAATACCCATTCCAAGGAGGAGCATTCCTTAATTACACAGAGCTGAATCTCCTCAAATTGCAGCTTGAACAAACAGAAGCACAAATATTTCTTATCGTGGGAATGAAGAGGGAGGGAATGATTTGATTTTCCCGGCGACTGATGGATTCGCTGGTGGCACCTTTGATATCACCATGCTGTCCTGCTGATGGTGAGGAGGAGGTGCTGCACCTGGCACAGGGCACACTCTGGCTCTGGAGCTCACCTTGGCACGGCAGCAGAGCTGAGAGTGCATTCATAACAACTCAAATTTGCGTCATAAAATCAGAAGCATTCTGATGGGAGAAGGAGGGAAATAATTCACCTGTGAATTTCCCTTGGCTTTGCTGGGGATCAGACTCGTGTCTCCAAGAAGTCTTTGTTCAGGGAGCTTTTCATAATGGCTCAGAATCTTTCCTTTATTATTCCCCCAGCCTGCCATTGCCTCCTTCTCCATCCCGGAGAGTTTTCTCTCCTTACCCGGCACCGTGTGTCTTCTGGGTCCCAGAGACTTTATCTTTCCTCCCCATGCTGTGTGTGTTTAGCTGTTTTTCTCCCAGGTAGTTCTGTGAGAATCATGGATTGTTCTTGTTGGTACTGAACCAGAATGATTAAAAGGCAGAAGTACAGAAACAAAAATTGTGCACGGATGTCTTGGATGAATTATAAGGTTTGGGTTTGGTTTCTCCTACAAAAGTATAACTGTGCATCTTCTTCAATTTAGAAACTTCAGTGGTGAAAAAATCCTTCTTGGATTCATCTGTTTGGCAGTTCTCACTTTTATTTATCAACTGATCAGGTGACAAGGGCTTGGCTCACAGAAGCGGTGAAAGAGGTATGAGGGGATGCTTTTGAAGATGGCATGGTTTGGGGCTCAAAGGGGGGACAGGCCCTCATAAGCATTGAAAGCCATCCAAAGTTGGAAGTGCCTCTCTGCTGAAGTGAGTGTGTTGGATGCTTTATTGGGTGTTTTATATAAATGAGGGCCTGCAGGAAGGCTGGAAGGGGACTTTTTGCAAGTGACAAGACAAGGGGAAATGGCCTTAAAATGACAGAGGGTAGATTAAGATTAGATATGAACTGTGATGAAGAGACCTGATGAAGCAGGTTTATGGGTTAGGTGAGCTGGTAGTGTTGCCAGGTGTTGAGGAACAACCTCTTTTCCCATGCAAAGGTGGTTTAAAGGGGGTTAATACCAAAACAGAAAGTCTGAGAATTTATTTTGTTATAACTTCTCTTAACCCTGAAATTCTCTCAACTCATGCACATGTATCAGTGGAGGGACAGACGTGTATGGAAAGGGATTTCTGGTTTCCCAAAGCAGATTCCCAGCAGTAGAGATGAATCAGGAAGGATGTGACCTCACTCCCAGACCAACCTGGCCTTTCACAGCCCAAAATCTTTCAGGTGATTTTGTCTTCTTATTATTTCTCCAGCTACTGAGTATTTCTGCTCAGAAGGAAAGTTCAGAGGCCTCCTTGAAAGCAGCTCTGAGCAGAGCCCAGGAGAAGTGTGTCCTGACCATGAAGATCTACCAGGTGCTGTGCAGTGTCCATGAGTCCTTCCCAGACCTGCAGCCAGTGATGCAGGAGCTGGGCCATGTGGGTAAGAGAAGCACAGGCTTCACCCTTTTACACATGGTTATGGGTGACAGTTTGGTGGTGGACCAGGTGTCCTGGTGGCCTGATGCCCTGGCCAGGTGTTGGGGTTGTACTTGCAGGAGGATTTGCAGGGGAGATCTCTGGTTCCAGGCACTGGAGTGTGTGTTTCTCCTGCTGGTAACATGCACCATGTCAAAGTTTTATATGTTACAAGAGTTGTGGAGCCCATAACTGACCCTATACTGGTGTTCTTTAACTGTGTTTGCATTTTTCCACCCCAGCCCTTGGAAGCATTTAAGCAGCTTAGTTCTGTAATTTGTATCTATATTGGATTATTTTTCAGAATTATTATCCTTAAGCTGTGAGGTTTCATTGGCTCTTCCTGTGCTGTTGGATCTGTGTCAGTTTGGACTTAGACTACAGTCACTTGCCTTTCTATATGTGGAATTTTCACAGGCTGCAGAAAGATCATGGCAGAGCACACTTGTCATGTGCAAAGATGACCATGATGGCGCAGTTTGCAGTCAAAGACTATTTTCTGAGTTAATTTTCTTAGAATGCTTTAATTTGGCCTTGCTCCATATGCACTTTACAGAGCAAATGCTCCCCTGTGAGGATCTGTGCTAGTTTTAAGACTCAGCAGGAAGACCAAGCCCACTCAAACAGCACCCTTTTCGATAGCAGAGGAAAAAAACATCCTAAGAGGATTACAAATTGGAGTCACAATATACTGAAGAAATTGCAATAAGCACAACAATAACAGTAAAAGATTGCGTGGAAGAGGGAATGGTTTAACCAACAAAAACAAGCTGTAGCCTGGCCCCCCCAGGACAAAACCAAAATGGAGTCTGTTCCTGTGCTGTGTGCCATGTGCCACCATCCACCATCCCATACAGAGAGCAATTTGATGAACTCCAGAACAAATGCAGAGCTGTAACCACATGTGAGCCCTGCCCTGAGCTGTGGGAGGCTTTCCAGCTGAGCCCAATTGTGTCTTTGCATTTGAAGGAAAAATGCTGAACTGGATTTGGTGCTTTAATGACAGGGATAACAGAGGTCCAGGAAGGTAACTGCAGGTGTGCATTCTCCTGGAAAAGATGCAAATGTGACTTGCTAATTCTGTTTGCTCACATACATTTTCATGGCATCGTGTTTCCGAGTGCATCCAGATTTTTTGGGCTGCGGAGTCCACTGGGATGTGCACAGTGTGGTTTTTATCCAAGCACAGGCACTGGTTCAGCTCAATCCATCCCTATTTCCTTGTGTGCAAATGCCAGTAGATTGCTGGGGAGTTAGAGTAAGCAGGTTGCTGTTAATGTCTCCTCTTTTTTTAGGGATAGAAAGTTGAATGACTTGGTCTGAAAATATGGGTCAGGGCCATCAGTCTTTAAGCCTTGTGGCTTTGAAACTCACCCTCACTCTGTGTTTGGCAGGGACAGACAAAGCCTGGCCCCCTGTGCTGGGGGCAGGTCACCCTCTGCACCCTGGGGGTGTTGGTGTCCCCACAGTCTTGAGTAGTGAGGAAATGTTGCTGGAAGGTGGGACTGGGTGTCTGGGAGCAGGGCACAGGTAGAAGAAATCTAGGATCTCAATGACTGTTTTGGCTGTAGGGCTTGGAGGGTGACAGCACATGCTCTGCTCCCCTTCCTTGCCTCAGTGGACTCCTGAGAGATGTCCTACACCCAGTTCAGATCTAGGTCCTCTCTTCTAACTCCACCAAGAACTGCCACCAATCCAGCTCTGATTTCCAGAGAAAAGGTGATTCTTTCTTATCTGCCTTTCATTTTGTCTTCTTCTGATCCTGCAGGCACTTGTCCCACTCCCCTTGACCCTGTGTGGCTATGCCTTGTGCCAGGGCTGATGCCCTGATGACTGGAGCAGGTCAGCCAGCAGTTGATGTGTCTGTGAATGTGCAGCCCACACGAGCTCATGGACACCTTGCAGTGGGGACCAGAGGGGCCTGGGGAGCTGCTGCCATGGCTCTGGCAGATCCTGCCTCTCTGGCAGCAACATCAGAGAGAGCAGAACTGCTGTCACTGAGTGTCTTTGCAGGGAGTCAAGCCAAGGTTGAGATGAAATCAAGCAAGAAGCAACATCAAAAACAAAAGCCCTGGAAAATGGTATTTACTTGGCAAAAAACATCTATTCTGGATGAAAGTGTCCAGAGGAGGATTGCCAGGTGCCAGCCTCTTTCTGGCATCCTACAGATCTTTGCACTGAACCTCAATATCTTAATTTTGAGGCTCCTCAGCTCTGACACCACTGCTTACCAGCCCCAAATGTTGCAGGTGACTTTATGAACCAATAGCCATGTGGCTCTTGGCATGAGATATGAGTGGTAGCTCTGGGCCTCATGTCTCAGCGGTGTGAGCTTCCTCTGGAAGCTGAGGAGACCTTATGTTTCTGAGAACGTATGTGCCACATGCAGATGTGAACAGTCGCATTTCCACTTGAAAACAACAGGGTTTGCATCTCTACTGCAAAGAAGCCCTCGAAAATTTCTGGTTATTCATTTAGGTGAGCTGAAGCACTTGGAGTGCCCTGTGGAGGAAACTGCATCCATTCCCAACCACGCTCAGCATTATCAAAGTAATGAGTTGATTCTTTTGGTGGAGGTACAACATGGAATCTCTTGGCTTCTCCTTGGGGTCCTGCTGTAGTTGGAGCACTGTCAGTGCTGGCAGCTGGTGCATGCAAGGACAGGGTTTGGCTTTTTCAGCCAACTCCATAACCTTCTCTCCAGCCATCTGCTTTCCAGTGCTCTCTACAGTCACTTCTTGGGAGATCACGTTTGTCAAGATAGGTCTCACTTTCCAGTCTCAGAAATGTGTCAAAACTCTATGAAAAGGCTTTTCTTTTTCATGGTCTTGTGTTTAAAAAAAAAGTACAGTTATCCTTCTTCCCTTGGGTCAGAAAAACTGTCAGTGTTGGTTGCAGGGATGTGGGAAGAAACCTGAGAGGTGACAGGTCAAGGCAACCTTGGCAGAGCAGGACAAACTGGAAACCAGTCTTCCAGTCTGCTGTAAGTTCTCCCTTGATGTGTTCACAGGTTATGGTTCACCACTTGGCATCTTAAGATTTCCAGGTCTGTTGGAGGCAGAGATGAAGTTTTGCAAGCACAGGGTGAATTTCCTGTACATTGGCAAAGGGAGAAGTCTGTGCTGGTTTCCATGGTCACACAGTTTCCTGGTTCTCATTATAGCAAAGAAGACAAATGTATCTGTTTGTATTTTGATTTCTTCCATACGTACATTCCCTGTGGGTTTTTTCTGTAGATTGAGATCCTGGGTGAATTTTCCAGCTTGTGCTTTTTGAGATGATGGTGTTACAGGGACAGGGAAAGCATTAAGCTTTGTAAGAAATGAACATAATGAGCGATTTAAAATACCTCAGGGCCCCAAGCAGAAGACTCAAAAGGGTCATAGTAAGATTATCTGTTCCCTTTCAAAGAGTTTGTGTTTGTGAAGTGTTTCTGAAATTTCTCTAATTTCTTCTTAATTTCTGTAATTAAGGGCTGGATATCCGCTCTCAGTGGCAGATTTAGGCAGTATCATATCTGAGGCTCAGGTCTGCAAACATTTAAGCATGGCTGTAACTTCATGTGTCTGAGCAGGAGGCAAATGCTTGGAAGCAACAGTTTGAGGAGAGCAAGCTTTTAGGAAAATCTGGCCCTGGTATGTGTGGTGGAGAAATTCAAGGATCACTCTTTATGCATCTTACCACGCACGGCGAGAGCCACTTTTGGGCAGAGCCATGTGGCACCATTGCAATGGGCAGAGTGTCTGATTGCCTCTGTGCAGGACAAACTGCCTGTGTAGGAGCATTTAGGAGATATGAGACTGAGGGGCAGGTACCCAGTCCTGCTGGTCACCACCAAACCAGTAATTGCTATTTCCATAGGTCTCTTGACTGAGAGAAGTGGGGAGAAACCCGGGATCAGGAAGTGGAAGGTGAACAGTGAATCCCAAGTTAAATCTCTGGACAAAGATGAGGGCAGGAGGCAGGAGGAGCTGGTGCCAAAGAAGCAAAGGAATCCCAAGACAAAGCTTAGTCCAAGAAGAGTTTTGTCTGCAAAGCCTGTGATAAGACCTTCCACTTCTGCTGCTGCCTGAAAGTGCACATGAAACGCTGTTGGGTGTCCAGAGGAAAGCAGATCCAGTGTAAAGAGTGCAGCCAGGTCAAACTGACCAAGAAGGAGCTGGAAAATCATCAGCTGGAGGTCCACGGGGTGGGTGGGGATGGCCAAGGAAAAGAAGAAGCGGCTCCCTGTGGCGTGTGACATCTGTGGAAGAGAGTTTGCTCATGCCTCAGCAAGGGTTGGTGGGAGCAGGATGTTTAGGCAGAAGTTTGGACAGTATAGTAAAGTGATAGTCTGAAACTTCCTCCTCCTCCCTGCAGCTCTGTGAGTGCCATGTGTGAGAAACGCAGCTCAGCTCATTTCTCCTGCCCCACTGAGCACAACCACTTTCTGATTAGTTCTTCCCTAATTGGTTTTCCACATGGCTCATCAAGGAAAAGTGGGGCTACTGGCAAATTTAAAAGCCTCCAAAAATAACCGAGCTGTTCCAGTTCCTGGCTGCTTTAGCAGGACAAGTAAGAGGAGCTGAGTCTCTTTGCCCTCCCCGGGGCAGCTCACAATGTCCTGGTGGACTCCAGGCTGGAGGACACCAGTGGACCTTGGTGTCACTGGTGGGCTGGTGGACCCAGCAGTACGGTGGAGTGGTGCCTCTGCAGCAGGGTGAGGCAAGGCTGGCACCAGGTCCCACCAGTGCCACGCTGGTGTCCTGCCTGCCTCCCCAGGGATGCAGTAGCACAAGCTGACAGAACACTTGGATGAGAAGCCCTTCTCCTGCCAGGAGTGTGGGGCCGGGTTCGTGGCAAACTCCACGCTGAAGAACCACCTGCAGCTGCACCCAGGGGACAGGCCCTTCCTGAGCAAGCACTGCCTGGTGACCTTCATGCAGGCCTAGGCCCTTGCCTGCCACAGCAAGAGGGAGCAGGCTGAGGGTGAGCTTCCCCACAGGAGCCCAGCCATGGGCTCGGCTTGCTCCATCTACCCCTTTGTGCCCTGTTCCTCCCTTTGCCTCCTGGCTGCTTCTCCATCCTTTGGGGGCCTCCTGTGCATTGGGCTACTCCCAGACCTCCCTCACCTGCATGGGTTTGGCCTGCAGCTTCTCACTTTGCCCTTATCCAGCTCCTCAGATTAGCCACGCAGTCCTCCTCTCCTCCATCTTCCTTGTTTTTCTCTTGAGTAGTTCCTCTCTGTCCCATCACACCTAGACTCCAGTGATGCATCCTTCCTCTGGTTATCCTAGTTTCTCCTGCCCTTCCCTCTGGCTGAATTCCACATATTTTTCATGCCCCTGCTGCTCCTGCCCCTGCACTCAGTGCCATGTGCTCCCGGGGCTGAGGCAGGGCTCTTCCAGCTCATGGGCACAGAGAATGTATTGATGTGCCCATGTAAAAAAATGTCCTTGGCTCTATTTCCCACTGTTCCACGAGTGTGATGCAGTTGGGCAATGCATTTTGAACATGAGACACACCAGTGTGAAAGTGTGTAGTACCTCTGGATACCTGAGGTGGGTGCTAATTTAATCCTCCCTGTGCAGGTGTGGAAAAGTGGGACTTTAATGGTTTGATGCTATGAGTAGGGTTATCTCAAAAATGATGGCAAACAGGCTGCTGGGAGCTCACCATGGAAAAGCTGTTGGTTTGCAGGAACAGTAAAACCTATATGTGAAGCCCAAACTCCAGTTCTGGTTTCCACCTGGAAAGTAAAATGTCCCTCCCTTTTTTTGACTGTCTCTTAAGTCTTCTTTTCCCTTGGTTTCTTTGCCCTCTGTGGTTTGTACTGTGTTTCTGGGTGGCAGACACTGAAGATCCCTACAGCTGCAAGAAGTGCCAGATGAGCTTTGCCACCCTCCAGGAACACTGCAAGCATGTCCATGAAGCACCTTCCCAGGAATACCAGCCCTGCCCTACCTGCTCCAAAACCTGCAGTGCCCCATCACTCCTGGAGTGCCACATGGTGACCCACACTGGGGGAAAGCCTTTGGAATCTGTGACAAGACTTACCAGGTGAGCTGGTGCAGCCAGGAGTTGGTCTCCTATGCAAGGGTTGCTGTTGCCTGCTCCTGCACCAGGATGTCTCTCCAGGCCGTGTGCAGCAGTTTGGGGTTGGCAGAGGGATAACTTGGACAGAGGAGGCAGAGTCCATAGGGAAAAGGCAGGTCCACGGGGAGAGATGGGCTGTGACTGCGAAGGGCTGCATATCTCATTCACCCAAGTTTCTAGCTACCAAGAGGTGTAGGAATTAAAAATAGTCATGTTGCAAATGGCATGCCTTGGAGGGAATGTGTGTGGGAGCACATTGCTACAAGGGAACAAGAATTCACACCAAAAGGAGACCTGAGACAAGGATCAGGGATTCAGCTGTGTTCAGCTCCTCAGGGACAATTGAGAAACAGAGTCAGGTGTAAGTGCTTGTCCTGTGGGAGGAGGATCAGGTCTTGTATCTGCTGAGCATAATTCCCCTGTTACTTCTGCTTTCTACACGGTTCTTGCTGTCATGATGCCCCTGGAACTGAATCACAGAATCCTGGAGCAGTTGGGGTTGAAATGATCCCCCCTTTTTAGAGAGGTCTGTGATGTAAACCCCCAGCCACAGCGCTCTGGCATTTCTGTGCTGGCATGAGGAGGTCTTGCTGGAGGGGAAGCAGCTCGATCCTGGCTTTCAGGAGCCGAGGAGGGGGATTGGCAGGGTATGCAGAGGTGCCTGACTACTCACAGGCTGTTAACACCCCGATGACACCCCATGAGACTACAGCTGTTCTGTTAGAGGCCCAGTGCTAGGTTTGAACCCAGCCTCTTCCTCTTCAAAATCTCAGCCATCAGTGAAGAACAGTTCCTTGGATGAGAGAACCCAGTGTGCAAGATTCCCTGGGATGGCATTCCTCCAGTGGATAATCACAGAGTGTTTACTGTCTACAGCTGCTTGTGGAGCTAAATTATAGCAATTTTGTGGAGAGAAATATTCAAATTACTCTCCTATCTTCTCTTGCATCACTGGTGTGTGTGGTTTGGCGTTTCCCATTAGTCTCATGCCTGTTGTAATTGCAGACCTGTGGCGTGGAGCTAAATGTTATTACCTGAGCTGAGGCTGGGGAAAGGGTGGGCAGCAAAGGGATCCTGGGGAAAGTGGTGCTGTACATGTCTGACTCTTGCACCATCTTCCTTCCACACAGGTGATTCCGACGTCGAAGCAAGGAGCAGCAGAGCACATCATCTCTTTTGATGGCACCCAGCTCGTCGGCTCCCAAGTCTTTTTGATGTTGCCTGAATCCCATGTGAGCCAAAGTGGCTCTGAGCAGATGGCAGTGACTAAGGAGGACTTGTTTGATGACAAAGTAACTCTGATTTGTGAAGAAACCAAGCGGGAGACAGTGGGGGGGGGCCTCCAACTGCCATTTGGTATTCCCTGGACTTGTTCAGGAGCTCAGTGTGCTGCTCCAGCTCGGGGATCCGGGGCTTCTCTGGGAAGGCAATCCCAGGCAGGCAGCAAGCACAGAGTGACCAGGGACAGGAGAGGTTCATAGACATTCAGTGCCTGAGAAGTCTCCCTGCATTAAGCAGCTGCCAGCTCAGGTGAGCTGGACCACCTGTCTCTCCCAGGTGAGAAATAAAGTGGAGGAAAAGAATGGGAATTGGGTGTGACCCTCTGCTGCTGTGAAGGGAGGGGAGGGGACTAGTGCAGGACAAAACTGGGGGGTATGGGTATGGGAAGAAAAAAAAAAAAGCTGTCCTGAGAATTTAGGATGGAGATTTTTATGGCTCAATCAGTGATGTAGTCACAGGTATCTTGTCTGCAGGGTGTGTGAGGGCTGCTTTGTGTCTTCTACTCTCACCTGTACTGATGTGCAGCTAGAGACCTCCTCCAGCACAGATCTGACCTTTGGGTCTCTCTTCTCCAGCAGGGACTTCCTGGGAACTGGGCTAAATGACTTCAGTGCTGTTTAGGTAGCACCTTGTGCAGCACAGCTTCTGATCCCATCTGTATTTTTGCTGTAACTGTCTGTTAGGAAGGAGGGTCCAAGGCAGATCTGGGGATCCCCATCCTCTCTGCAAGCAAACAGCCCCGAGATGTCCCACCACCCTCTTAATTCACCAGGAACATGCTGAAAAAGGAGAAGGAGTTGTGCCTGCATGCCAGGGTCCCTCATTACTGGTGACAGTGGCTTGGCACTAATGAAAGTATTTGAGTGTGGGAGAGCTGCTGTGACTGCAAGTGGACATTCCCCTGCCACACAGGGGGCACTGCCTTGTAAAATGCATTCTGGTGCCCACTGTAAAGTTTGCTTCTCTGGTGCCAGCAAGATGCAACAGCTTCATTGCAGCACACCAGTCCCTTTAAGGCTAAATTTCATAAAGCTTTTTTATCTGCAGCTTCCTAAAATATAATCTGATAATTAATGGTTTGCTGAATCCATTATGAAGTGCAATTAGATAGATGCAGGGTTCCTGTGGCTCTGAGGGGACTGGTAGCATTTATCTTCCTTTCCTTCGTGCCAGAAGGTTGAACTCTGCCACTGCAATATTTACACAGGGAGCGGCGATCCCGCCGGATCTCAGAGCCTGGGACCCCACGGTGAGCAGTGTGCTGTTGTGTCCTGCTGCCCAGAGCCACGGGAGATGAACAGATTGGAGTTTTCCAGCAGCATCTTGTGCTGGCTGCTCACTGCCACCAGGCAGAGATGGTGGCACAGGAGCGTGCCAAGGTGGCTGTGCCAGTGAGAGAGTTTGTTCCCATTATAACTTGGAAGGAACAGGGAGCAGCAGAGCTCCCAGGAGAGGGGCTTGGGGGACCTCATGACATTTTGTGTGTGTGTGTAGCAGCAAGCATATGACCCTGCTGAAGTGTTGCACATGTCCTGAAGGGCTCCCACATATGGTTTGTCCCCCCAAGCTTTTCAGGGATGGCGACACGGAGGAAGCATGAGGTTAAGCTGCCACTGAATCCAGGAATGACCAGGAGATGGTGCTCAAGGCCTTGAGGATTAGTGCTAGTGGCCAGGTGCCTCTGCACCTTTGTGGAAGCTCCTCTGAGCCTTCCCAGGCCTTCCCCAGCTCCTGGGCTGCCAGCCATGGAGAGATCTTGAGCCACTGCCAAGCTGAAGGAGAACTCCAAGCCCTGGACAGGTCACCTCCAAACCCTGGATATCACTGCTTAAAGAGCCTGAAGCTGGGTCTTGGCCACTTGTAGAGAGGGTAAAATGCACTTGTTACTGAGGTGAAGAGATGCAAAAGCCTGGGATCCCCCTTGACCAGGAGAGGGGCCAGAGGGGGAGCTGCTGGAGCCCATCTCATGTGTGGTGTGCATGGCACTTGGGATGAGCATGGGGATAATGACACAACGAGCAACTGAGTCTTGATAGTTTCAGAGCAGATGTGTTGGGAGGAAAGTAGTGGATTTTGTCCCACAGGCTGGTGGAGTTGGAAGCTGTTCCCCCTTTTCTGACTCCGTGGGAGCTGGGAGCTGTGGAAATCCTGCACGGGTTGTGGGGAGGCTCTGGAGTGGGGAATGGATTGTCCAGACAATGCTTTGCAGGTGTCCTGGCCTTTATGTGTGAGCCAATATCTGCAGGGAGAGCTAAGGTCAAGCTAATGTCCATTTGTTCCTGAAAAACTGTGGAGGGGGGGGTAAAGGTTTAACAGGGCTTGTGGAGAAGTTTTCCTTATTTCTGTCCATGTCACAGGGCAGAGCAGGTATTTGGGGCCTGTTGGCTGTGATACCTTTGGTCCCTGATTCCTCGTTGTTGTTACAGCTAGAGGGAGACCACCACAGGGTGAGGTGGTTCAGACTCACCTCTCCTGTTTGGGGCCATCTCTCCTGCCTTTCTGCCCAGCAAGATCCTGTGTGGACGTATCCTCAGCAGAATCCTGCCAGCTCCACACACCCAGTGAGAGCTCTGTAGCTCGACAGAGCCCATCAAGTATCTGCTATATCATTACGAGGAGATAATAACTTACTTCCCCCCATTCCAGTTCCTTCTTGATAGATGAGATTTGTACAGCAGAGCAAATTGCAGCATTAGCAACACCCATGTCCTACCCGGGAGGGAGATGCATTTCCCAGGACACGTCCTGCTCTGGTGTGCACCACACTGGAGATGCTGATTGCTGGTGATTCCTTGTTTTCTCTGTGAAAGTAAAACATGGAGGAGGAAAGATGTATCTGCAGAGTGTCATTTGAAGCAATTTGCTGGAAAATAAAACCTTCTTGTGCTTGAAAATATGATTTTTTTTTCAAATCTTCTCCCAGGTGCTGGGTGACCCACTGGGTTTTGGGTCCTGTGCCCCCCTTGACCTTGGTGCCATCCTCTAAGGAAGCAGGTCAGGCTGGAGCATGGGACCATCCTGCCCTTCACTGTGTCCTCCTATTGGAGCTGCCAGATGCTTTTGGGAAAAGGGCAGCCTCTAACAAACTGAGAAGTGACATCCCATGGAGGACTTTAGGTCAGGTACTGGTGGAATGACAAGGTGAAATGGCTTTAAGCTGGAAGAGGATAGATTTAGATTGGATATTAGGAAGAAGTTCTCCCCTGTGAGGGTGGTGAGGCCCTGGTTCTGACCCCGTGTCTGTCCTGTTGCTGTGGGATCCTTCGGAACAAGGCAGTGTGCCTTGTGTACAGCACTTGACCTTTCCCATGTAAAGTGTCATTTCACAGCCCCAAGGTGCTATTTTAACAGTGCCTGCAAATTCAGTGCTCTGGGCTTCATTTTTGGGTTGAGGTTTTTATTATTTTTAAATCCAACCTGCCTGTAATTAGGGGCAAAGATGCCGCTGCTCACCCAGGAGTTAAAGAAGGAGGTGGCAGGAGCATGGAGGGAGTTTGGACAGAGCTTGAAGCCTCTTGTGGGGGAGAGGAAGAGGAGAATGGGTACTAATGGTCTGAAAACACTGTGTATGTGGTTCAGGCAAGCCCTGGCAGCCCCAGGTGATGCTGATATCTTGGCAAATTTTAATGTTGGTCTGGCAGGCTGCCGGCACGTCCCCAGTGAATTCAGGCACTGGAGAAGGGAAGTGATGTCTCCAACGGCCTCCATCCAGCTCAGCAAAACCTGAGTGCCCTTTCACAGCATGGAGATGAGACACGTCAGCAGCCAGAGGGATCCTCCCAGATTTCGGTGGTTTGCTGCAGACGGTGAGAGCTGAGGCACTTCCCTGGGACATGGGCCTGGTAACCTTCTGTCCTGGGATGAGCAGGCTGGCTGATGGGGGGCCTGGCTGCCTCCCCAGCATCAGTTCCTGAGCCCCAGCACCGTCAACTGCACGAGGCCTCCTTAGAGAAACCTCCACAATTCCCAATTTCCTTTCATGGGGTCTCCAGCCAGCCTTCTGCACAAGCAGAAACTCTCACTCTGCCTTCCCTGCACCCTTTATGATCACTCAAAGCAGGAAATCTCCCCAGGTTTCTAATCATGTTTAAGCAGACCTGATAAAGTGCAGTTCTTAGTCCATTTAACATCAGACACACGGATGCTGTGTAAGCTGTGTAAGTGGGAGTGGGGCTGGGAAGCACCCGTGGGCCAGACCATGCCACTGGTTTCTGTGACCTGCAAGGAAACAGAAAGCCCTTGCTGGTGAGACAGAGGCTGGAGGAGCAGTGAGGAGCAGTGGGGATCTGCCTGGCATCACTAAGTGTCAGGCTGTGTGCCTGGGAAGGTGCCACGCTGGCTGTGTGGGGACAGGAGGGGACTGGTTAGGATGTGTGACAGCATCCTGAGGGCTGCTGGTTGGAACAAGAGCCCTGAGCAACGTTTGGGGGCTTTAGGAGCTGCTTTTGGCAGAAGTCTGGAGGAGTTTCCTGTTGCCCCTGCTCTGAGATGTCATTGCTCACCCACAGCAGCGTGTGACAAGGGAATGACAAACTGAAGGCTCTGCAGGAGACATCTGCCTGACAGCACGAGTCAGGAGGTGGGAAACCTGTCTGGAAGCACGAGAGCAAAGGAGCTCTCACTGCTCCATGTGGCTGAGGAGTGACCCGGTGGTAGCTTCACCCCCTGTGCTGGGAGATGGTGCTCACTGCCATCTCTGCACTCTGGCAAGTGCTGGAGAGCATCACTGTTAGTCAAGGTCCATTTGTACAGAGCACAAATACTTAGCTTGGCCTTATTTCCCTTTTTTTGGACACCCTGGAAACGCCTGGCATTGTGGGTGGTCCAGACAGTGACCTTTCCACTCCTGACAGGAGCAGTCAGTCCCTGTCTTGCTTCTGAGGAGCTCAGGGTCAAGTTTGTTGGCCGATATTCCTTCATCCCGTGGATCAGGGATGCTTAGAGCCCTGCAGCATATGGGAAGCCTCGTCTGGGCAGGCTGGCTGCTTGTGTTCTCTGCGCTTCCCAGACTTTCTCCCGCTGGCCCCAAAGCCTCCTGCAGATGGGGAGGGCTGGCCGGGGTGGGTCTGGTGTGCACATCCTCCCTTCGAGCACCAGGAGGAGCTGCCAGCAAGTGGGTCTGTCCTGATAGATTAGATCTATCTTGAGGCTGTGCAAAATCATCTCAGCCCACAGGTCTTCCAGCCACTGGAGGCTTCCTGCTGGAGCTGGAGTTTGCTCTCTTTCTCTTGGCTGCAATAAGGTGAGCAGAGCCCTGCCTCAGGTTTCAGGCTGCCTGGGGAGATAATCCATGCCCCTCCAGCTGTGCTGAACCTGCTAATGGGTGTGATGATGGCTTTCCCTGACAGGAGAATCTGGCTTTCCCTGCCCAAGGATGCCAAGGCCATATGTCACCTCCTCCATGGCCTTGGCCTTCCTGACCAGCACTTTGGTGGGGAAGAGTTGAGCTCCAGTCTTTGCCGGCCGCCCTCATCCCTCAACTTTGCTGTCCTTCACCTGGACTAGGTCTCCCTGCAGGTTCACCCCAGCCCTCCACCTACCTTCCCCTGATCTGCCATCACCCAGACCTTCTTCCCCAAAGCTCATCCTGCAGAGGTGTGCCTGCACCTCGATGTGTTCCTGCCCCATGCAGGGTTTTGCTCTCTGTAGAGACTACGTGTGGGGGCACATCTGGAAAGTCTCCAATTGCAGGTATATAATTCCCATTCTGATCTTCTGCAGGAGTCACAGGGGGACTCAGTGCTGGGTGGAATGGCTGTAAGGACCCCACGAATGTGGAGGTTGTTCCCTTTGTCCAACTTGTGTGTTTATTTTTCCAGCTCAGAGGCTCCAGCGAGACACTGTTTAGAGCAGAGCTGCCCCATCCACTGATACTTAATGCCATAATAACATCACATTGGTTCAGCACATTGCACTTCAGACCTGTAGTTGTTTCTTTTGTCCCTGAGTGTTTAAAGCTGTTGTTATTGAGCTGCCCAGTGACACAAGGGGCTTTCTCCAGCAGGGTTATAGATGATAGTGAGTTTGGTGATACACAGGAGCAGGTCAGATGATCTCTGTGGCGTGTGTGAACTCCTGTTTATCAACAGCCGGTCTCTGTGAGCAGTGAATTCCCTCCGCAGCTCCCTCCAGCCTCTCACATCAGCTAACCCAGATAATCCTTTGCTATCTGCCACATCTCAGTAGATCTATTAAACACACATGAGTTCTGGTGTCCTTGTACAGAACCAGGGTATGTTGCAAGATTTCAAATCCCCCAGTGCAGGATTCTGTCAAAGTTTTGTTGAAAGTCTAAATAAATAAACCCCTTTTACTCATCCATTTCTCAGTGGTTCTGAGGGCTTTTCTGTTTTAAAGGTGAGGCATTGCTGTTCCCCCAACAAACTGCTTCACACTGTTGGTGGTACAGCTGGCCAGGAGCTGCTGCAGCTGATGAGACCCCATGGTAGGTGATTGGATTTGGGATTCCAGGAGCTTTGCACAGGTGAGGTTGGGTCTCCCCACAGCTCTAGTGGAGGATGAGGACAGATCAGACTTGCTTTGGGGGTTCACAGTGACTCATTTCATGATGAAGAAATCAAACCCTCAGCCCTGCCATGTGTCCAGCCTCTCTGGCTGTGTCCCTCTGGGATGTGCACAGGTGACTGCCAAGCACTGGCACTCCGGAGGGCCAGCAGAGCAGGTAGCACAGAGAGCACATTCCTGCTGCTACTCCTCGTTGCTTCTGTGTCAGTACCTGTCCCCCCCGCCCGGCTCTCACTGCAAAAGGCTCTACCACTCCTGCATTCCTAATGCAAACATTGCAGGAGGATGATTCAGCACTTGGCAGAGAATTGCAGATGCTCCAGAGATTATTCTGAGCATCTTGGAGTGGCTCTGGGAAGCAGTGGGGTGATCATGGTCCCTGCACTCTTCCCTGTGTCAGTCGAGGCTCTGTGCAGGGATGTGGGACACAGCACTGGGCAAGCCCAGCATGCTGCCCTCCTGTCTCTGAGCCTGCTTTCCCCCTCCCAAAACTCTGCAGCCCCGGCAGGGATCCAGTGCTCCCCTTCCCCCTCAGGGAGCAGACAGCTCATCTTGCCAAAAAGATCGAACGCAATTTCCTTTTTCTGTGTCACAAGCTCATTCCTGGGGCTGTGCTCAGGCCAGGTGCTTGCAGGGAGAGGTCTCCTGTTGGGAACAATCCCTTCCACTGGGCTGGGGGGATTACTCAGACCTGTAATTTGAGTGGGGACTAACTGGTTTTGGTTTAAACGTGGAAACTGCTGTCTGCCATGATGGGAAGCAAAAAGAATCCAAAAGCAGCTGGAATCAATGGGCTGCAGCTCAAGGGGATGAACAGAGCCCCAAGCTGCTGATGGGCTTCAGCAGGGGCTGTGGGATGTGCCTGTCCCTTGGGAACAATGGCTGGACCCTGAGGGCTTGGACATTGGCATCTCTATTAATCTCTGATCCCCAGAGCACCTCTGCTGGCTTGGCCCTGTTCTCCCTCTGAGCCCTTGCACTGATGGTGGTGCCCTGGGGGAAACCACACTGCTGGTGCTCTGGAGACCCCAAACAGGGGGTTGGCAGTTTCACCCACAGAAGCTGTTTAATTTGGGGCGGTGGTGAGGGCTGGGGGCAGCCTCCCTCCCTGCACTGTGGGGAGCTATCCCCATCCTCTGCTCTGTGTGTTTGGAGCAGGTCTCTGCTCATCAGTGGGTTTCTCTGTTTTCTTCTGGACCTGCCTGTCGTGCTGCATCCCTCCCTTGCCTCAGTGAGCTCGCTTGGCAAGCCTTCCTCCATGCTCTGTGTGCTCTGTACTGCGTGGGCCGGACAGACTGGATGAGTTTTCCCTTCCCAACCTTGTGGGAGCATGACCAGAATAACTGCTGAGACCACGGGCCTCCTGCCCTG